GTTACCTTGGTGACACTGTACTAGGTTGTTACCATGGTGACACTGTACTAGGTTGTTACCTTGGTGATACTGTACCAGGTTGTTACCTTGGTGACACTATACTAGGTTGTTACCTTGGTGACACTGTACTAGGTTGTTACCTTGGTGACACTATACTAGGTTGTTACCTTGGAGACAATGTACCCATACACAAACATGTTATTTTAGATAAAAAATATTTCTTGATTCATATAAAGGCAATTACTTTCTAGGGGAAGAAATGACATTTAATTTGAAACCAGATGCAAGAAAATGTAATGAACAGGTAACATGTACAAAGATTCATTGAAATTGGTTTTATAGTCTGGGTGGTAGGACAAATATCATTCCACAGTGGGATTGACAGGCAGACAGACACCTTGATTTCCAGTAAATCCATGTTTCGTTTACTCTGTTAGATGGGGGTATAATAAGTGAAATTTAGTGTTCCTTTCATGCAATCTCTATTAAAAGAGACATTGCAATAGGTTGTCACCAAGGAGACACCGAACCAGGGTGTCACTTTTGGACATTTGCAGTAATAGTTACCATGGAAACATGTTACAGAAGAATTACAGCACAGGTTTAGATTCAGAAACATTCCAAATCCAGCTTAAATTCTTTAACAACTCATTCTATCAGCAGTCAATTCTGTTTTAATGCATGATTAAATCTTGGTATTACCTGTGTAAGCCTTACATAATCAGTCAAGGAAGGTTTTAATCAGGTATATAACCTTCCTCTTGAAGATGTTTATATTGGACTCCTGATTCGTAGATATTACGAAGTGTATCCTACCCTAAGCCCCCTTCATGTATATGTGATGGATATATTTTTTCCAGGATTTTCAACAGGTCTCCTTTAAAGTCTTTACATGGCCTCATGATCAGCTCAAAGTTAATGTTTCAGGCATTTTATAGCTGCATAGTAAGTCCCAGCTCCTGTGTGAGAATCCCTTGTACGTATATACATATACATGCATTTTAAATATGACCTTACTTTTTTGAAAAACTTTTATTTCCCAAATCGGAATCTAACTTTGTTTAAAAATTTGTAAAAGTAATGCTTACCTTCAAAAAGAAAACACTCATTCCATCGGGGATTTAAATTCCTCTTTTTGACTTTTGTGACAAGTTTATGTTTTTTATCAGGTAAAAGTAAAATTTTGACATAAGGATCACTTGTTCCGGTAAAGTCCTTAGCAGGCAGTCCGACTCCCTGAAAAACTTTTAAGTTCAACGTCAATGTTTGGAAATCATAACTTAGAGCCACTTGTATTCGTCCTAGCTTGCAGTCCACACCCTCGGTAGGGTCGATGACCGGAGGTCCAGGGTCCTCTTCAGCATCGTCCATTAACATGTTCGCGATGTTGCGCATCCCCTTCCATACGCTGTTGTTTTCATCGTCAGCACTTTGTGATCTCTGCGAGTCCGAATGGCTAAGCATCTGAAACAAACAGAAACACAATCAGAAACAAATAAAAAAATAACTCACTTAAAATCCAAAGATAAGAACTGGGTCTTTCGGCATTCATATAGACCTTGAGAATGACAACAATCAGTATTGAAAAGACATCATCAAATACAGCCAAACATTGTTACGGATATTTTCAACTGTTCTTCAAAACCTGGACAGGAAGTGAACTGGCTGTATTAAAGATCTAGAGCATTTCACAGCATTTGAACCCTGATGTACTAAAAAGGGTNTAATGGGGCAAATGAAATGAGGAGCATTACATTGAGAATTTACTGAAATATGCAGGTAATTGCAAAAAGAAACATACCTGAAAACTTGATTCTTTTATTCTCACCCTTGTACATCATTCCCAAATATTCCTATTTATATCAATTGCTCCCTCAGACAGACACTTGTATGAGGTATTGACTATAGAATGTAACAGAGGTTCTATCTGATTCTTTATCAGTTTGGTCAATACTGAAACCTTTTTTAATTGTATTCTCAATAAAACATCACTCTTGTAATCGGCACTGCTTATAATTACCCCTACAGACACATTTAAACTCCTCCAATTCAAAGGATGAAATTAGTTAATGAAGAAATTTCAGGGGTGAATGACTTAATTCTTTCAAATGCAAATGTCACCACAACAAATAAAATGGAAAAAACTCTCTAGGAACAACTTTGACATTTTGTCAGCAGTTTATAAATGCCTTTTTTTATTAGAGAACAGCACATTTCACGATCTTACTCCTACATGAACGATTCGTCCACAATTAATTCTACCAATACCAAGCATTTACACATTTTATCAAATTACATCAGTTTTAATTACGCCTTTGATGAAAATAGGTGTTGCAGGTAAATATCAACTGGAAACCACACAATTAATACTGTAGATATACCCCTATGTTTCCAATATAGACAGACAACACAAGAGGAATGTTTCCTACTGACAGACAACACAAGAGGAATGTTTCCTATATAGACAGTCAACACATGAGGGATGTTTCCTTCTGACAGACAACACAAGCAGGATGTTTCCAATATAGACAGACAACACAAGAAAGATCTTTTCAATATAAATAGACAACACAAGAGGGATGTTTCCTATATAGACAGACAAAACAAGAGGGATGTTTCCTATATAGACAGTGTTTCCTTCTGACAGACAACACAAGCAGGATGTTTCCAATATAGACAGACAACACAAGAAAGATCTTTTCAATATAAATAGACAACACAAGAGGAATGTTTCCTACTGACAAAAAACACAAGAGGGATGTTTCCTATATAGACAGTGTTTCCTTCTGACAGACAACACAAGCAGGATGTTTCCAATATAGACAGACAACACAAGAAAGATGTTTTCAATATAGATAGACAACACAAGAGGGATGTTTCCTTCTGACAGACAACACAAGCAGGATGTTTCCAATATAGACAGACAACACAAGAGGGATGGTTCCAATATAGACAGAAAACACAAGAGGGATGTTTCCAATATAGACAGACAACACATGAGGGATGTTTACAATATAGACAGACAACACAAGAGGGATGTCTCCGTCTGACAGACAACACAAGAGGGATGTTTCCAATTTAGACAGACAACCCAAGAGGGATGTTTCCTTCTGACAGACAACACATGAGGGATGTTTCCTTCAGACAGACAACACATGAGGGATGTTTCCAATATAGACAGACAACACAAAAGGAATGTTTCCTACTGACAGACAACACAAGAGGAATGTTTCCTATATAGACAGTCAACACATGAGGGACGTTTCTTTCTGAAGGACAACACAAGAGGGATGTTTCCAATTTAGACAGACAACCCAAGAGGGATGTTTCCTTCTGACAGTCAACACATGAGGGATGTTTCCTTCTGCCAGACAACACATGAGGGATGTTTCCAATATAGACAGACAACACATGAGGAATGTTTCCTTCTGACAGACAACACAAGAGGGATGTTTCCAATACAGACAGACAACACAAGAGGGATGTTTCCAATATAGACAGACAACACAAGAAAGATCTTTTCAATATAAATAGACAACACAAGAGGGATGTTTCCTATCTAGACAGACAAAACAAGAGGGATGTTTCCTATATAGACAGTCAACACATGAGGGATGTTTCCTTCTGACAGACAACACAAGCAGGATGTTTCCAATATAGACAGACAACACAAGAGGGATGGTTCCAATATAGACAGAAAACACAAGAGGGATGTTTCCAATATAGACAGACAACACATAAAGGATGTTTTATATGTAAAAGTTTCTGTTTTTACCAAACTTGAGAATGTATATTGTTCTCAAGTAAGAAATTTGAAAGTATCCTCTAAAGAGTGGGAGTAACAAGGCCATCTGTAAAATTGAATAACATAGTTAATTAGTGTATAACTTCTGTATCGCAGAAACGTTATTTGATTTATAGTAAAAAATTAGGTGCTCCACAACCCACTAGAATCCGAGCGACATTTTAATTAATTTTCAATCATCCAAAACCAGCAGCTCGTAGTTAATTCCGGGACACTAATCATGAAAGAGGTTGGAGCTACAGTGACATTTGTGTGTTTGTGAAGGAGTTGACATTTGAAGCTTTCCCCACAGATTAAAGAAACCTCTAGTTGTCTGTGGGTTTACCCATATGTCAAAAAGATTAAAAATATCGCACTTAACCAAGATATGAGACAGCAGAGAAGCCTTTGACCAGGTAATGAGTAGGAAGAAAGAACGCCCCATCACCCACAAACCAAGACGCATGACGTGTTAAATGTTCCCCAGGTGTTCAGTCATTTCCCAGTGCGGGGGAAGAGTTATGGGTAGACACATATAAAGTTTCAGGTTTACGTGAACTGCAGATATATGTCACCGATTTCGGACAATAATGGCAAACTAATTCAGAAATGTGAAATTTGGGAATATAATTCACCCATTCTATTGATTTTGTTTTAATGGCTACTTCATCATTCAATGCCATATATCCCCTTGTACTAATGGCGACTTCAAAAGGGCAAGCACAAATGGATAGGCAATCATCCGCAGATTAAATTTCCACCGATATTCTTTTATGTATGATATTCCCAATCTGGCCGACCAATCAATCAATCGTTGATCGCAGTTTGGCTCCCTGACGGATGATGTATCAATCTCAGACAAATGACTGTATGGTTCCAGTGTCATGGTGAAATCCCGGGACAAAATGTCGTCCTCATGTGTACACTACGCTTATCGTGTAAATACAGAACCAGAGACAGCATTACAAATAAAACGGATTGTACTTCAGGAAGCTTTTATCCGTTATCCTATGTCCTTCAGAATTATCAGTCCCCATCCTGTAGTCCCCGAGCAGTTCAATATATGCCTACGATATCTCCCAGTGTGCAGTACACTCGTATTTATTGAAGATGAAGTATACTTGAGCATCAGGTTTTAGGTATAGGTCAATATTTCATTTTTTATAAATCCAATAAAAGGAAATTGGACCTGTCGTTAGAAATAATTGTGAGAGATTGCAGTGCTTCATGAGACAGCTGATACATCTGGAAATGATGCACGCTATTTTTATACTATTTTAAAAGAACAACTTGTACATATGTCATTCTATTGTAAGTGTAATGTACTGCGTGCGAGTGTGCACCATCTGCAAATATTAACAGTATCTATCCACAACAAAAATCTTTATGGCTATAGTGAAAAAGACACTTTAAATTTCAATTGGTGTACTTTTCTTAATTTTTATTGGTATTTTCTTTTTTAAATTGAAATTGGTATACTATTTCTTAACTTCCATCAGTTTATAATTTTTAAATGCCAGTTGGTATACTCTTGTTTTCAATTTCGATTGGTATGTTATTTTTGAAGTTTTTTATGTTCAGATTTTAAATTTTATTCTTGCCCCATCAAATCTTTAGTTAGCAACTATTGGGACAGTCGCCAAACTTAATGTGACAGAAATACAGGTTTCCTTCCGGTCTCGTTAAAATCTCTCCAAGGTTGTTGATCACCACTTTCATCGTTTTATTGTGCGCTAATGGTGGTTCTAGGCCTACAAGTCCCTTTCATAGCGCAGCGTGGCATAAATCAATGTTGCAAGTCCTCAATGAGGCCTGGGGATGCCACAGCATTGTTGTTGATAGGACCAGGTTCCGTTAATACGCTCGTCAAATACACTATTATTGAAACGTTAATAATGGCGATTGGGAACATGATTAGACTACAAATGCCCAACACTTCTCTCCACAATTTGAATCTTTTACTGCTACAGCTTACTAAAAAGTGCTTTCCTCATCACCGCCATTTCCAGTTTCCAATAAACACCTGAGATTGTCTAGAATCTGTAAACCAGATAGCCATCCCAGTCAATAGTATTGTGTATCAAACAATACAAATTATCGATAATAGCAATGAAGTATAGAAACTTACTTTCAGAATTGTTTTCTGAAATATATTTCTGGGGATCTAAAAAGAAACTGTAAGATTGCTGATGTTAGCAAATTAAACATGTTATCGAAATTTAACAGGTTAGTGCATAGATGAATTGGGCACTTGGAAAATATGCAATAGACAAGAGGCCCAATGGGCCTGAATCGCCCACCTGATATTAATCTTAAATTTGTAATCTTAAAAGTGGACTGAAATACAGCTACAGGCAAAATACCAGTGTTTGATTCAAAATAATCGATTACAAGATTTAAGCATGTGACACATGTGACCTAAAAAGTCAAACAAGGACATTAAGTTGAACAGACTTTATAGCCTTTCATACCAGCATGCTTCAGGCCAAATATCATTACCCTGGACCTTTACATTATTCAGAAGTTGTTTAAAGATTTCAAAATATTTGACCCTGTGACCTTGCAAATGGTTGAAGGTCATTTAGTTGAACAAACTTGGTAGCCCTTCATCCCAGCATGTAACTGGCCAAATATCATCACCCTAGGCCTCTCAGTTATTCAGAGGAAGTTGTTTTAAAGG